GAATCAACTAAGCTAGCGTAAGGGAGAAGATAAAATTACTAATTAGTCCAAGATGAATAGAAAATGCAGCACCAGCACCTGCCCACGCTAGGGGTGTAAACGAGCCGAACACGAGCTAGCCATGTTCAACTCGTGTTCAGCTCGCTTATATTTTGAGCTCAAAAACTGTGTTCGTGGTCAGCTCGTTTGCTTAACGAGTCGAACACGAGCTGTTCACGAACAAAGAGTCCTTTTAACAACCCTAATCATGTAGTCATAAGACAATAAGGCTTTGAGCAAGATTTAAAAATTATTATTTATATTAAAACATCATTTGAATCTAATTTAATAATTTTTATTATATTTTCTTAATCAATATTTTAGTTGATTATAAAACTTTGTAGCATTGTAGTCAAATAGATTTTTTTAAAATACTACTTAATATATATATATATATATATATATATATAAACTTGAAGAGTAGTATTTCGAGCCAAAACAAGCCGAACACGAACGAACACATCTTAGTTCGTGTTCGGCTCATTAACTTATCGAACGCAATTAACGAGCCGAACACGAGCTTCTTAACGAGCTGAACACGAGTTGTTCACGAACAACGAGCTGTTTTGACAGCCCTAGCCCATGCATTATAGGCATGATATGTGCGTAAGGCCTCAATAGTTGCAACAACATCACCGAATGACTGTCACACCATACAAACAGAACACAACTTTAGAATCAAGCAATGGAAGTAAACCCAACGAAACATCCAAGCCAACCCCGCCTGATGAGACACTAGTTCAAAAGAGAGAAAAGATGGAACTAATCCGTATTCCAAAATCTATCCTAGCCCAGAAGTATTTTAGATGCAATGAATTTTGGCATATTGAATCAGATTGCACAACCAATAAAACAATCTATTTCATTTAGCAGGGCACAATTGAAAAAATGGGCAATACACAGTAGACACTTAAAAAGGTGAGGACACAAGAAGTATCAGATTCTAACTGATAAGGAAGTAATGCATGTTGTACAAATTGAGCCCATGAGAGGGACTCCGATCGAATTAATAGTGATTGTCCAAGATGATCTTGCATTCGAAGAACCGACACCAGGCACATGGCAACCCCAGATAATAGAAATTCAAACATTTCAGATATATAGACTCCTTAAGTTGTACCTGCTAAGGGAGGCTCAACATATCAGAGATGAGCTTTTCAACTACTTCTGAAATATTATATGAAGTTATTTGGATATTAACTTCAGTTCAACGGTATACCACCAACATATGACAAGACAAGAGGGATAAACCATAGTATTTTAAATTGTCTTAGGAGTTTGGTGGGAAAGAAAATTCTTCAATGGGATCCAAGTCATAAAAGAGAAGAATATGACTCTCCTGAGTGATCGCTAGTGAGATTGGCTCAGCTTGCAACAGATTTCATCCTGGAGTTAATTCCTCCTTACATGTGTATTTATCAACTACATTCAGTCGATTACGAGTGGAAGAAAAAAATTAGGGGTTTAATGACTCAAGGGTTACTTTATGAGAATGTACATCTATTCCAGCTCAAGTTATGCTAAAGGATGATGGATACTTATTCTATAAGGTTGTGTTTTAGAAGGAGAACACCTACAAGTTTGACTTACTAGGAATTTACAGCAGCCCCACCACCGTTAAATTGGTCGGCCTAACATTATACTTTGAAGAGCTAGAAGCTTTGATAGATGAGATCGAAGCATACCCAATCTCGTGAGACTGATGCGGGAGTGCCACCTACACTATCGCAGGCATGAAGCAAAATCGAGTCTTGAATACAAGAAGTCCAGCGTAAACAACAACCCGACCGCTTTTCTACATGAGAAGTTCATCGTGGGCCACTCCTGATTATCCTCTTCTAATATATGTATTTGTGTATTTGTGTTGGGTTAGTTTTTTCGTGTGTTTTGTATCAAGAAAGCCAACGATATCTCTTTTTCCCTTCGAGGGTTGTATCCTAGGAGTCTAGGTGGTGCTTTGACTGTATCTTAGTCTCCATGTGGTGATTATCTTCCTCATCCCCTTCCACATTCTCTCCACATCATTAACGACTGCCCTCAACTACTACAGTCGACCCAAACAGCCGCATATTGCTTTTTTTCCTACAGTTACCAATTCTAGCCACTTGTCCTCGCTATCGCCACCATGAACAATTGCCCTCTTGTTGTCGTGTAGTCTCTTGTACTCCCTATCACTGCCGTCGACATTCCCCCTCACTATAGTTGCCTGGAAACAACCATTTCTTTTTTTTTCTATTTGAGCAGGTCAACTATCTATTCCTCTCCTTCCAGTTTGATGCTATTAACGCAACTCCTCCTCTTCACTGTCATCGCCCTCCACCTTTGATGTTGCCACCCTTTCAACCCTTCACCCACTCTTTGCTACCTCTCCGGAGGACTAAACCCTCGTTGATCATCACCACCACCCTGAAATCCACCCAATAGTTTGTTATGTCATGTTTGTTGTTACTACATATTTCCGGGTCCTGTGTCATTATATTTTTCCTTTCAAATGTGTTGGTTGTAACAGCCTATGTGTTTTCATTGATAATATTTTATTTTGCTATTGTGGTTTGGGTTAACTTCGATTTCAAAATGTTTGTAGATTTTAAGCTCTATATCATGCTTAATCCTAAGAAGAATATAAAAAATTTCTATAAGATGATTAAAAAAGTAGTTCCATACCTCCCTAAAAATGAGAGTACTATTTTCTCATTAGACATATGCTTCCCCAAAAATTATGAAAGCACTATTATCTTATTTAAAGCTACAACAAGCCAGTTTTCACTTATGATAGAACTCAAAATAAATTAAAATACAAATTATTTTCGTCAACCTGAATATTTTCCCAATTGAAATGAATATCATATTAATTCATCCAAAAATGGAAATTGAAAGCTGTCCGTTGATGGTTTATCGAATCTACAAATAGCCAAGGTCAGTCAACAATTGTTTTTCATTTTTATCAGTTAAAATTATTTAATCTAATTAACCATCTCTGATTTGACTCAAGTCCAAGTTAATCATCACCATATGATTTGTTACCTTGTGATAAAAGTAGATTCTCAGACAAACTACACTAATCACAAAATAACCTACCACATCATAATAACCAAACCAAGGCAAGAAGCACAAGGGTCGAATGGAATTTTCATGTGCTCATCAAAGCCAAAAAAGCATTCAATAAAAACCTTCAGATCAGTGAGGTTATTAACTATACCAAAAGTGTCATTAGCGGTAAATAAATCAATTACTTTTTTCACACACTCATCAAGGCTACATGGCACTTCCAGTATTGTTGGATCATTATCTCCATCAGACAAGCTTTATGACAACATCAATACCCTTAAAACCATCCATAATTATTAAAGATCAGGTAATTTTCATGTTTTCAAATCATTTTTCTTTTTTCAATATCTTTGAGCTCTTATCCAGTAGAATAAAGAGCCTCCGCAAGCCTAGCTATAAATGATTAAGAAAATACCTTAGCTTCATGAAGCAGTTGGATTGGCTAACAATTTGGACTAAATTATTGACTTTAGCACAAGTGGCTTTATAGGTGAATCGCAGCCCAAGTAGTTGAAGAAACTTAGTGTATTTAATACTCTAATAACATATGTCAATTATTTTGAACTCCAACAATATTTTCCCAAACTTTTAGGGATCATCTTCACGAGTCCTCAATCTGTATTAATTCCAATTGAGGTTGCATGAGGCATTCATTCTATCTTGCACAAATCATTTTTGTATCTATTCATGTTACATATGTCTCCCCCTTTCCTATTAATCATTTCACATTATCTTTACTTATATATTTATTGGTGAATAACTTCAATTGTATATGCCCAAATCACGAAGTCTCTTTTCGATTCTCAAATCTTAAACCACCATCCATATAATATAATAATTTCTTAATTTATTATTCCTAATTTTACAAAACATAAATCATCTCAGTTCCTCCAAACTTGCCCATGAGTGACTTCTTCGATGCCAAACAGTCCATAACGCATGGCTAAGCATAGATGAAGTTTATAAAATTTACCTTTACTTAACTCTTAACATTAAACTTTAGAATTACATTCTCATCAAGATCCCTATTCTTCAATGCAATAACTCAACGATACTTAAAATGATCATAATTAAATATGACTTCATCATTTAACAATGTTGATTGATAATCATCAACTCCATAGCTACTAAAATTTCATCTACTATGCCCCGTGTTTTTCTTCTATTAATCAAAAAATTATTTACTCCTAAATATTTCTTCCATTGTTTAACTTCCTACTTATATCAAAATAAACTTCGGTGGAACTATTATATATAAAATAAGCACATACTAAAAGTTCTTATGCATATGTCTCATGTTGAATGCATATATTTATTATGATACACTATTGATTATTTCTTATATAATATTCATTAATATCTCAAAGTGAATGAAAAGTTTTGCATGTCAATTGCATCATCTTTCACATAGGACAAATAGTTTTGATCTTAAGAAAAAACACTCTATCAAAATTACTAATATTATTTTAACATCATTGCAAATTTAACATTTATTTCAGTTCAAGCTTGGTACACCAATAAAAATGAAATAAAGTTTATAAACTTTGGTTCTTGGTAATTTCAAATGAAGTTCAAGATAACAATCTTGGCTCGAGGACTTCCAAACCAGACATGCAGCCTCATAATTGGGTGCATGAACGAACTCATTTGCAAAAAGCAACGAGGAATCATACATTTCAAAAACAATAATAATAAAATTTAATGATCAAATTATAGACGTACAGAGTTTATTTCAAGGCTATTTTTCATGGTGGCTGGCAGAAACTATCATACATCCGCATATTGATGGAGGCAAGATCTGACATTTCCCTTGAACAGCTTGAATTCATAAAACAACAAATTTTTTTTTCTCTCTCTTAGGGACTGGGAGTGGGGATTTAGAGGGAGGAATAGAGGCAGGAATTTGGAGATACCTCCTTAAAATCTTCTAACTGAAGAATTCTGTCCACTTTAATTACATAGAGATTATCTCCGTCCGCATCTTCGCCAAATTTCTTCTCCCACCTCTTACAAAGTTTCTGCAACAATTTTGCAAATTATTTAAAGTTCATAAACCTTCAAATTATCCCAAACACGGAGATGAAATGCTACAAAATGTTGATCAAAAGAAGAGATTAATAGAAACAACAAATTAAATATCAAACTTGCAAAATAGTATGAAATTCTCATTTATAGGCCGAAAAGCGGGCAATCAGTAAACATTTCTGAAAGATAGAAAACAGCCGAAGCCATTCTCTGGTACCAGTAAATCATCGTATTTACTAGTCAAAAGAGCAGGGGTTAAAATAATCTTATCCCAAAACTCATGACAAAAACATTAAGGGCAAAATGGTTTGTGGTTAACCTCACCATATAACCCCAAGATATCTTTAAATAATTTATTTGGGGGGCTAAAATTATCCCTTTTAATAAATGCCTGAATTTAAAATATAACCGAATAAATTCAATTAATCTTTAAGCAATACTTTACCATGAATAAGCCCGAATTCTGAAACTCAAGCCCACAAGGAATTAAAACCTATTACAGGTTATGTCACTAATACAGCAAGTAAAATTCAGAGGAATGCTTATAGAATTACGCGCAATATTAATTCAACTTAAGAAAATCCAATTCCCAGCCAAACAAGCCAAGACCAAAACTTAACCTCAAAATCATGCACTCAATCCTGAGACAATAGAAAGACTGTACCTTCAAGAGCAAGCCGTCCTCAAGTTTCTCAAGGTTTCCCAGCAGCGTGCATTGCCTCGTCCTCGACCTGCTCTGCTTGAGCTGCACTTCAAGGTAGCAATAAAAGCACCAGAAACCCATCAAAATGAAAAACTTTGGGCCTAACACAGAGAAAACATTACTTGCACATTGAAGCTGGAAGGGCCAGCAGCGGCGAAGAACCTCCCAGGCTCATTAAGGCACAGCGCGGGAGTGCCGTGCGCGTCAACGACAAAGCGAGTGCCGATACCCAGCGGCCAACCATCCTGGAGGGAAATAGCAGAAAGTGTGCCGGTGGAGGAAAGCTCCATAATCGTTCGGGAGACTTCTGCAGCCGAAGGCTTCGATGGGCTATTGGTGATGCCTGGGGAGGCATCGATGGCAACGGAGAGAGCTGAACATTGGACATTCAAAGGGAATGAACGGAAGGACGTTTTAGGGAATTCGGTTTGGATTGGAAAGGGTGATTTGGTCGGATTTAGGAAGGTGGTGGGGAGAGCGGAAGGAGAAGTGAGGGAGAGTAGGGATGGGTTCATGGTAGCTGAGCGAGTAGGAGGATTTGATTGGGAGTGTGGAGAAAGAATTGGTTTGATGGATCTAAAGAAAAAATTAAAAATAAAAGGAGAACAAATAACAAATAAAATGAGAACATAACAAATAAAAAGATGGAAATTTGTTTGGATTACTCTATGCACAAGTGTATTAAATTAAATAGAGGGATTTTTAATTTTATATTTTTTGTTAGAGGAAAAATAAATATAAAATAATTTATATAAAATTCATAATTTTATAATGCAAGATGTATGATCTCATTGAGATCATGCTTTGTGACCCATTTGACTTCGTGGACTGCAATGAGACCTCATTGTGACTATCTCTCTTTCTCGTGATCTTCTCAATAGATGTTAGCAACCCGTGACCCTCGTGACCTCCATGCAAATGATCTCATAGTCTCCACTCCAAAAACTCACGACCTGCTGACATATCAACCAACAACCCTCGACAACCATATGTCATCCACGTTAGCATTGCATAAACGGCAATCCATTATCACCTCTGACCTGGTCGTGGTCAACCACCTTTGTCCTCTTGATTTTGATGACCTCGCGCCTTGTCACCATTCTTATCTTAAGTATGTTTGTGCTCTAAAATTAATTTTCATTTACAATTGATTGAACATGATAAATTTTAGATTCTTTTTATAATTAGTCAAATTATATGAAGAAATTAAATCGTTGTGCATCTTATTTATGTTGTATATAAAATTAGATGGCTTCTTAAATACTTGCAAGCAAACAACCCACCCATGGAAGCACATTCTTTGGCTAACATTCCTAATACAATGCAATTTAGGTAAATATCCCCAAATATTTTGTTGAACTTATATTGAAATATGAGGGATAATTCATTATATTCACATCAAATTCTCAATTATGTTACAATTGGAATATCCATCTCCTCCAACAAAATTCATCTGCAAATAATGTATTCAGTTGTGCAGAATTATCCCTCTTACTTTCCACAAATAATTATCCCTAATTTCACTTTATGACACTCAGCTCATTGCACAAAATTAATAAGATGAGTTTTAATATTTTTGTATTTATGTTACATTCCTCATATCTTTAGCATTAATAAACTTGTGTTATTACCCTCACCAGCCTAAAAAAAGGATGATTTCAAACACAAGTTTAGAATTTTTGGTTTAAAAAAATATAACATTGGAACCCTAAGTTCAAAAACATGAGATTTGAACTATGTTTGAATCTAGCCCAAGCATAATTCTAATCTTTTTAAAATCAATTGAACCTCAAATCATGAATTATAATCATGTTTGAAGCTTTCTTAAACTTATATTTCAAATTTTGAGTTAAAATCTCATAGCATCAAAAATGCATTAAACCATGTTCAAACTCAAGTCTAAACCCTATGCTAAAAGAGAAATTTGAATTTGAGTTCAAGGTTTGGGGTTTGAACTGTACAATATCTTAGAATATGAGGTTCAAATTCTATGAAAAGATGACTTACACATTATTTAGAACCCCTTTAAATAGGTTCAATTTGATTTAAATTATTCATATAAAGAGGTATTGGATAGTCCAAATAACAAATATCATTGGTGGTATAATGGCGGAAGTTAAAAAATAATTTAAAAGTTTTCATTGAATCACCTTTAAAGCAAAATTTTAATGATAATCTCCTATAAATCTCTAAATCTTTGATTCAACAACTTCTTTTAAGGAAATTTGATGATGTAAGGGATGAAACTTACTCATTCTTACTCAATACTAAAAGTTAAAATATAAAGTTAGACATATTTAAATGTACATTAATAATATGAACCGGACCTTGGAGAACCTTCTAATATTAATGAGTTCAAGAAGATGAATCAAGACTAATTGATAATTACTAAATTATAACTATAATTATCAAATTGTAGGACATAAGAATGCTTTCTCTTAGTGTACTTATAAGATATTTATAATTTAAATATTTGACCGTTGTTGATAGAGTGTTATTGAATTATGATTATTTGTATAGTAATATTATCAATGGTGGAAAAAGAAAAAAAATTATATTTTCAATGTCTATGAGAAAGATTATCATAACAGGATTTATTGAAAGGGTTTAATAAAAACATATTGCAAATTAAAGGAAAATTAAAGGAATGTTCTAAAGGCTAAGAATAAAACTAGAACAAATTTACAACCCAATATAAAGACAGTCGGTAGTCAGTATGCTACCCTTTTGCGTATGAGCTATTGTAATATTAGAAAAGGCATATGAATAAATTTCTCATAGAAAAATTTCCTAGGATTGAGTTGAATAACTAATAAAGTGTGAACAAATTAAATTTGTTAACATTATATAATAAATGTGTGATTTATATTCATATTAATATAATTCAAATATTAGTTTTCATAAATTAGTATTTAAATTAATTTATTATAACCTTTTTATTTTTAAATTTTGATAGATAATTCTAAAACATGTACTAGAATATAAAATTATTAAGGAAGATTTATATAACTCTTATATACATATAATTCTCATAAGCTTCTACAGTCTAGTTTATGAAGGGAAAGGGACCATCATACATAAAATGGTGCTCTAGGGAAATAACAAAAAATGAAAAATATGTGAAGTAAATAACAAAATGAGTCACAAAAGAAGAAGGAGAGCATGCCCTCTTCAAGTCAAATATAATAAATGCTTATTATTAATAAATATGTCAACAACAATTTGTTATGGATAGATGAAAAGTTGGATAATCTTATAAATTTTCTTATATGAAGTAAATAAGACATTGTATTAATTTAGATAATGAAACAACTTTATCACTTAATATATATATGGTCAAATGAAAATAAGGTTGCGCCTTCTTAAGATAAATCTCCAACGTATATAATTATGCCCTTAAAGGATGTCCATAATGTGGTGATTAAGGAAGAAAAATAACAATAAAAAATACTTAACTAAAAATCTTAGTAGTCATTTTAGTAAACATCACAAATCAACATATCCATGTGTTCTTGATCTTCTCCACGTGTCGTTAATCTTCAATGTCTAATTGGTAAAGAAAAAAAAAATACTTTAAAGCTTGGGTAAGAGAAATGATAGAGAACTCATAGAAACATAGAATATAGTTAACAATGAAAGCATGTTATAAATAAAACAAATAAAATGATACTTTTTGTTTGCATCCTAACATTTCAAGATTATAGTGGTGCTTTATAGTTTATTTATAAAATTTCTTTGTTGGAACATAAAATATTATATTTCTTAATAAAGGAGTAGGTTCAAAATGTGAACATTATTTTGGATGAAATTTTTTATCAATATTTAAATCAACACTTGTTAAATTTACGATATAGAGGAAGCGCAAAGTCTGGTTTAACTGATAACCAATGATTATAAAAAATGTAATTAGTGATGATGAAAGGTACATTAGGTGTTGGTAGGATATATGTTTCATATCAACAAACATGAAATTGTTTCATTGGATAGTAAGTGAAATGATTAAAGTTCAATTATCAGAAAATATAATTAACTTTTTTTAAATTTATTTCATATTTACAAACCAATTAGGTTTTTCTTAGGTCTATTTCTAATGATATTTGTGCTAGCTAACCTTAACACTAAGTCCTACGACAAGTAATTGGCCAACTCCAGGTTCCTTTAGACCTAGAATTTATTTTAGATTATCATATACTATTTTAGGATCATTCCAATGGATTAAGAATGCTTAGGCCTAAACCTTTGATATTGTTCAAGGGGGTTAACTTATTGAGCCTCTAGATCATTTATAAATTAAAGCAAACTAAATTAATCATATTCAAACCAATGCCTTAGTATTGGGTCTAAAGATATTAAAAAACTATTAAGATGCCTAGAACCATGTTAACTCATCTTAGAGGTTTGGTAAAAAATGTTTAACTAAATGATTTATTAGTGAGCATTTAAAGATCACTAAGAAAGGAAACAATTTTTTCCAAGCATTTAGTTATCAATGAACTTAAAATGAATGTAAACTATTAAGGACCATACTTGACTTAAATTCAAATGCATTGTACTAATAAACCTAAGGTAGTTGAACAATCATTTGATCTATTAAAGATTCTCAATGAATCAAATCAATCAAAATAAATCTAACATTAGTTTCAAATAATCTTGATACACTTACAGGGTGAGTGAACATTTACAAGACCTATATAAGCATTTATCATACTTAATTAACATATCATTTTGAGGTTTGATCATACTTAGTTTGATTAAGTTGACCCAAATGACTCATTAGGAGCTATTTGAACGAAACTAATTTTTTTTTTAAAATATTTTATCTTTAATGAATCCTATCTATTTATGAAGTCATTAAGAACCAAATTTGCACTCTTTAAGCTCAAACCAAGTCGAAAAATCTCATAACTCATAAACGAATCAATAAGGGTAATCATTATTTAAACTCATCAAGTCAAAACAAAATGGACTTTACTTATCCATATATTTCCTAAATTTCTTAGAAATCCACCATTGCATATTTATCCCATTCAAGGAAGCTCAAAAAGTTGAATCAAGCTAATATAAGTTAAGCACACCAAAATTGAAAATTGATTTGGTGCACTCAACCTTATCCAAAATATTTGTATAAAGCTTATCCAATATAATAAAATTTGGTGCACTCAACCTTATCCAATATAATAAAATTACACACCCAAAATATTTGTACAAAGCTCCTAAAACAATCATGCAACAACTGTACAAAGATACGTCTGACTACTTGCCCCTATGCTTGTTGCCTCTTCTTGGAAGGCAACAATGAAGAATGAGTGAAAACAAGCTCAGATAAATAACCAGGGTAAACATAAGATTTTATATATATAAAGAAACAATGTGCATGCTCGTAGGAAGCTATACATGTCTACGCACACAAGTAATAACATGTTATTATTGTAAAGAACATTAAAAAAGAACAAAAAGTATAAAAATGAAGACTATAGTGTAACATGTAATTCATAAGCATGAAATCATAACTATAATCAAAAGCATGTTCATAAGCATGCTCATAGGTTGTTTATTTTAATCATAGCAATGTTATTTCATAGTAATTCCAC